GACGAGGATATCTGACCAGTGAAAACAAGTGTCGACCACCGAAAATGGGGAAACCTAAAGGAAGCCATCTCCTTTAATAAAAACAGCAAGGTTGTCTCAACTAGAGTCAGTATGGATGAGAACGTCAAAGCCAGGATTAGGAAAACAAGAAGACTGTTTATTACTCTAAAATCAGTATAGAAATCTGCTGCACTCAGTATTACAAACAAGATCTGGATCATCAACTCTAATGTCAAGTCATTGCTTCTGCGAGTGCAGAAAAGCATTTTAACCGGCTACTTCAGATTTTTATCAACACCTACCCCCATCTCTCAATATTGAGGATAAGGTGGCAAGTTGTAAGGGATAAGTAAAAAAGAGCTCTGGCAAAAAACCCACCAATCATCTATTAGCAAACAAATGTATAGACGAAAATGGAGATGGGTTGGAGGTACGCTGAGGATACTATTGGATAACTGTACAACCAAACTGTACAACCCAAATAAGAAATGACGAGCCGGAGGTGGAATGGAGAGTGAAGTGAAGAAGATCGTGTGAGGAGGAGATGAAAGATTATGGGGGGGACTTCAAGCTAGTTGAGAATGACACTTTCAGCAGTTTCGCCTCTTCGTATATTAGAAACAGCTTTCTTCACTTCAGCTACAGTTAGAAGACAGACACTGAAATCTCACTCATAAAGGTGTGCTTGACAAATTTAGCGCGGTTGTAGATCATCTGGAACGCTCTCCAAAACGTTCCTTCCAAAGTTCAGACAGTCTATACTGCGTAATAATTGAAGCACTGTTCTTTTGGGAAATCGTTTCACTTGTCAGTATGTTACAATCAATTTCCAAACTGGTTTAAATAGTTGTCTGGTACTGTCGATCCTTTTTCTATCTCAGTCACTTTAGTCACTCATTAGTGTTGACAGTTATCCCGGAAACTGTCATTCTCACATATACGTTTTGTTATTTATCCCATAAATACGGTGTTCTCGTCTTGCTGCGGTTTCATAGCTGTCTGTTCAGTACGTGTACAGACGAGTGTGTGACCAGTGTTTACGTAAGTATCTTCAGCCGACCCACTCCACAGATGACTTGTGGCTATGTGATCTATTTCTGTTCGTCGTTGAATCGATAAGACAGGTTACCAGATGAGACAGTATCTCCACTTTTGTTTGAAGTTTCTGCTGACCAGGAACATATGGTTATATGGACAGAGTTGTAAAAGATGATCACCGTTGTCAGTCTGTCAGTAATGGGACTGTGTATATGCCACCAACATCCTTTTCTGTCTAATGCAGCTGCCTACTTGAGAACTGAGATCACTGGATGAAGTGACCATGTCCGTGCGTTTGGATTTAGCAACAGACTAGACAGATTTTGATAGAACTAATCATTTCCTTCGTCCGAACTGCAGTCATTTGGGGGCATAGTTAGAGACTACGTGAATAGATATCGATGAATGTCATAATTTTTCTTTTTTCCGTTAGGTCTGTTTAGATGAATGGCACAAATTTGGTTGTTTGCCTGGAGTCCATTCAACCAGTGTGTTTTCTACACTAAAATTCAATGTTACCCCTACACCACGCACCCACACGAACTAACTAAAGTATCTCCTAATAAGTGTAGGGACCATTTTTTCAAATTAACTGTGTTCTTCGGTAACAGTTAAATGAATAACCACACCTGAGTCTTACATATATGTCACAAAAACATAAAATACGTACATAGTCAAAAATATCAGAGTTCTCTCTGACAAAATGTCCAAACTCTGAAAGGTCTAACAAGAAGTTGGTAGCGTAGTATTACGAGATTAGGGCTAATGTTATTCTAGCCCAGGCCCTCATTTGAAGTCACAAAGTTAAGAGAAGAATAACCCACCTGTAGTACAGCATTAGCAGTAGGGAGAAAGGAAGAAGATAAAAGTGGATGATGATCAATAAAGCACTGTATGCTTATGTAAGTGTGTAGTCAGCAACCTCTATCAGGCTGCGTGACAGCAGATTTTAGAGAGCAGCTGCCTCACACCGTAACCCGTTTGAAGTATTTTATTCAGTTTTGTCTATGTTAAGATATAACTATCGGCTACAAACCACCACAGCGGAGGTCGGGTTATAAAATACTAAGGGCTCATCTTTCAAGCTCCTTCCATCAACCTCCAACGTGGAAAGACAGTATACCTGGTTTGGTAATTGTCTAAATAGGGAAACACCTTACCACCACCATATCCCTATTTTCCGGAGGCATAACGTCAGCCTAAGATATCTAATATGTTATGGACGAGTTGTACTGCAGTGATAACGGCTTTTCAGAATAACCTGTATCCAAAAGACCTTTTTGACATGGTAAGACCAGGATGGAACGTCATTTCCGTTTGTTGTAGCTTATTATGCCTTGTGATATGCAAGTCTGACCACCACATCAAGCTGGTAGCAATCGGCTGGTTTAGGCGTCTATCACCCACATTTTCTGCACTAATATCAAACCAACCAAATTTTTAAAACTTTTTCCAACTGGAACTTCGGGATTTAAAACAAGCATCAAATCCATTTAATAAATCAGGATTTAATGAACTATTGAAATTTCGGTAGACCTCCTATTTAAGTGAATCAATTGTTCTAAATGACAAATCTGAATAAAGATATAATAGAGAAGATTTGTAGCTCAGGTGGATGATTTTGGTGTGGTTGTGTTCTCTGAGCTGGATGGTTAATTTGCGAAGCTTTCATCACCCTACTAGGAGAAATCCTTAGCCCATACTTCAATTTGAAGTGAGATTTTATATTTCGCCACGAGTTTATTAATCACCTCTCCTGGTGACCTGGGACGTGATTGGTTGTTTTTGTGTGTTTTCACATCTTCTAGGTTACTTGTATTAGAGCTGATGGTTTCTTTGACTTGAACTTTGACCCTTTGCATGTTAAGCTTCTTTCTAATCGGTTGATAAATTTTGTCTATCTCTATGTGTCTATTGATTGATGATTCACTGGAATGCCAAGCTTCTAAAAATTCTCTAGCATTCTTGTTGTTTCTTCTGTCTAATATTTGAACGTTGTCCCAGTCGAATTGATGTCCGTGGTTGTCTGTATGGAGTGGTATGAGGGAGTGGATATCATGTCTTTTGACGGCTAACTTATGTTCGTGGATACGAAGACGAAGGGGACGTCCACTTTGACCGATGTAGTGTTTTTCGCAGCTGTTACAATTTGTTTTGCAGATGATGTTGGTTTTATCTTCGTTCGCTGTTGAGTCTTTTGGTTGACATAGAATTGAGTGAATTGACCTTGTTGGTTTGTGTACGACATCAATTCCTGAAGGTTTGAAGAGTCTTGTGGTGATTTCTGAGACATCCTTTATATATGGTAAGGCGATTTTCTTTGTGCTTTCCTTGGAGGCTTTTGGTTTGATAGGTTGGTTTGGGGGTATATGTCTTTTGATGAAATTTCGTGGATATCCATTCTTTTGGAAGACGTCCATGAGATATTTTTCTTCAATTTTCCTTGAGGTGGGAGTGCTGCAATGAGTCCTTGCTCTCTTGAATAGTGTTTGTATGCAATTTGTTTTGTGTGGTATTGGGTTGTTGCTGTTGTAATTCAGGATTTGGTCTGTGTGAGTTGATTTCCTATAAACTTGAGTTTCTAATTCTCCTGCGGTTGTTCGCCTGACTAAGACGTCCAAAAATGGTATTTTGTTCTCGGATTCCTCTTCTCTTGTGAATTTGATGTCACTGAAGACGTTGTTTATTAAGTTGTGAGTTTTATCTAACTCGTTTCTTTTGATTATTAAAAATGTGTCGTCGACGTAGCGTATCCAAGTCTTGGGTTTGATCTTTGGTAGAATTATGTTTTCGAGTCTTTGCATCACTGCTTCTGCAATCAAACCTGATATTGGCGATCCCATGGGTATTCCTTTGACTTGTTCATATATTTGGCCGTTGAATTGGAAGTATGTTGTTAGGCATAGGTTAATGCATTCCATCCAGCTTGTGTGCTGCACTTTTGATTGTTGTGGGGGGTGTTCGTCGTCGCTTAGTAATTGCTCCATGGTTTCTTTTGCTAGTTTTGTCCGATAGAGGTATATAATGCTGTCACGTCGAAGGATACCAATATTTCTTGTTCATCTATTTGGATGCCTCTGATTTTCTCTAGGAATTGGATAGCAGAGTTGATGGAATGATCACAAGATTCCGTTAGGTGTGTTTTAGTTTTCTGTATAATTCTTTGGATAAATTATATGTTGGAGTTCCTGGGAGTACACTGACAACGAGTTACTAAACTCTAATTGCTCAAGACTGTGTAAATGCAAACATCATTTTGTTTGTTTGTTTGTCTATTGACAACAATTAATAACTTGGCAGTGTTACTATCATGCCCATAGTCTACAAGATGCTTTTGAAACTTTAACTCCAGCTTTCTTCAAGCATTGGAATAAATGCTATATCACTCACTGCAAGTTAACAGTAACCTTTCAGTGCGATGCATATATTTACTTCCATAAATACACTCAGATTGACACACATAGTTTGAAGTGTTGAGGACTGGTGGTGTCAGTTCTTTCCCAGATTGTGTTAAACCCTCCGCCTGCTGATATCAAGGCACAAAGGTTTTGCAGAATAATAATTATTTTTGAATAGTTCTGTGGTGTCTTTATTTAACTAATTCTCCTAAATCATCTGCTAATATATACAGCTTTTTTTGTAATAGCTCGAATAGTTTTGATTTACTTTTCGAAATTAACTTTCCTCGTGAATATATAGTCCTCCCCTTATAAGGACGTTTTTTTTAATTCACTGATAAATGAACTCTGTACACCTGATTATAATTATCCGCAAAATGATACGAAGAAAATAAAAGTGATTTTAGCATATTTTATTGATTTTTTTTTAAATATCTGCTGACTGTTATTCACTGGTCAAGTGGTTGGTAGTGAAACTGAAATAATCAATATGTTAGTAAGTAATAATTACAAACAGTCAGTTCCTATGATAAATTTAAATAAGTCATTAATTAAGAAGGCGAATACTGACCAGATGATCTCATCATTTTTTTTTTGCTTACGATCACTTTAAAACTAACATGGATCACAGTAATAAAACTTTATGTTGAGTAAAGAAAGCTCGAAATATTACCAATAACAAAACTTATCATTGTGTGTGAACTATTGAAATATAATAATACTTTATTTGATCTAATCCCCAATGCTCAAACTTTTTACTGAGATTAAAAGAAAGCTGTGTTTATTAAACTATTATTTAAAAGTGATATAATCATACACAGTTGACAGTCAAAGACTTCAGTCAACTATCAACCGGACATTCTACGGAGTATTCCATTTTCGTTATCCGTCGAAAAAATTCACTTGCTGTGTCTAAAATTAAAGAACGGAATTCTATGAACTCTAATTCACAGTACGTCAACAAGTTCACCTGCAGTTTTGGAGACATACACACAGGTAGGACAAATTGAATTTTACACTGTCGTCGAAAGAAGAATATTATTATTTATTATTATTATTATATCCTTTAATTCCTAGAGGAACATAGGGTTTCAGCTGCGCGTCTCCATTGCCTTCGGTTTTCTGCCAACTTCTTCACCTCGCTCCATGTCTGTCTACATGCTTTCATCTCCTCTTCACATGACCTCCTCCAAGTCACCCTCGCACTGACCACCAACTCGCCGCTTCCCTTTCGAGCTCCACTCGAGTAATGGCCTGTCTAGTGATGTCACTTGCTGGTTTGTTTTCTCAGAGTATGGCCAGCCAATCCATCTCCATTTCTTCCTGCGTATTTGTTTCACAATCGGCTCCTGCTGGGTTGGTTCGCTCATTGTCAGAGATCTCTCCCTGTTGCTGATGTTTCCGGCTAGCCATCTTATCTTGGGTATTGAGCGAAGACAACTGTTAATGAAGGTCTGTAGTTTGTTTGAGATACCCTTTATGACGTGCTGGCCAAGTCTCTGTTCCGTATAGTAAGTAGCACTGACTTCACATTGCAGTTGAAAATCCGGATCTTATTTTCGTTTTGATGCTGAGTAGTGCTGTTGACCTCTTGCACACAGACTTAAGTATAATGAAAGCTTGTCTTGCTTTTCCGATTCATGCTTTGATATCCTCTTCACTTCCGTGCGCCTGTAGTTGAAACGATGCTTCCTAGGTAGGTAGGTAAAGGAGGTTGTCTCTTTCAGGTTCCTCTCATTTTTGCTGGCTGATTGTTGTCTGTTGTTGTTGGTGGTGGTGTTGGTCAGTAATCATCACCTGTGTTTTCTCTACGTTCACTTGAAGTCCTATCTTCTCTCGATGCTTCTTCTATCGCCAGCTTGTTGCTTTCCACTTGCATATCTTCCAGTTTGTGGGAAATCAGATATATATCATCGGCGAAGAAGATATCCGGGAAGAAGAATAGCACGTTCCTAAATGTTTATTAAGTCATACTTCATCTGAATAGAAATCCAGCACCACTCATTCACTACATTTGTTATTGTCTAGTCACAAAACAAATACCCCAATGTATGTTTCTCACTTATTCCACATCAATTTAAGGTTTTATTAAAGGCGATGGAAGCATTTTGGGGATTGATTACATGTATCCCAAGCCATTAACGCAGAGGAAAGAGCAGACTTCAACCTTCGTCCTACTAAAATACGGTCGATTACTAGTGAGCATTTTTATTTCATATTACATGAATTGAGAGGCATTGGTATTTCGTTCAGATTATAGAATTTGTAGAGTTTCGTCACGAACCAGCATCAGTTAAGTAGATCATTGAAAACCAGCAGAGAACATTGGACAGCTATTTCGTCCCACTTTTCGGTACCACTAAGCAGTGCGCACCTATGATTCCATCAAATATCAAACCCACAACCTTCAGGTTACGAGACCAAGTTCGTTGACCATTTATCCAGCTGAGCTGGAATCCAATGAACCGTGAATTCTAACTTCTGTCAGCTAGTGACACAACACTGATCTAACCAATGCCTTAGATCAACATCGAACTCACACCTTGACACGGTGTATCCCACAAATCATACAGTCTAAATATCAGTATCCAGCTCAATGATGGCTATTGAATGAATTTCCTGAAGCTGCAATAAGGAGCTGTGACGAATAAGGTCAGTCATGTCTAGGTGAAGTATATGGTCTTTGAAAACAATGTTGAAGGAAGCTGTACATCACAAAATGACAGGAGTTAGAATCCACGGGTCACTGAATTCTGCCTCAAGTGGCTGAATGATCAACGAACTTGGTAACCTGAAAGTTCCTGGTTCGATCCGTGGTGCAGTTTTCAATGCACAAAGCTCCAAAGTCCTGGAAAGAGGAACGAATAGATGTTCATTACTTCCTTGTTTTTAAGTGATTTCTATAGCTGACGTTGGTTCTTGATGAAAATCTAACAACAGATATTTTACTTTGTCATTGTGTACCGAACTAGTTTTAAAGCCATCATAAAAACAAAAACTACAAGGTGAAATTATCTCGCATTACTTAACTTCTTAATGCCTTAATTAAACGACAACTAAAATAAATTTTTTATTGGAGATATGATATAAATTTTTATGTTTTTTTTATTATAGCTTGATTTCACACAATATTTTTGGTACAAGTATGAAATTTTCAGCATGCAATATTGGTAGCCCAAATTTTGCAGCTCCACCATTGACATCAGGCGTGCGTCAGCAGTGGATCGAACTTCGGACCATGTGCATGATAAGCAAGAGTCCTAAACGCTGTGCCACCACTGAAACTTCAAAGCCGAGGCTTGAAGCCCCATGTCGCACTTGGAAAGCAACGGAATATAATAATAGTAATAATAATATGGGTGGCGCGGTGGCACAGTGGTTAGCACGCTCGCCAGCCATGCATATAGTTCTGGGTTCGATTCCCGGCCGACGCACTCCTTTACCTCGCTAAGCCAGAATTAATCCTGGTAAAGAGGAAAGGTTGGGCATGAGGCTAGCAACCCCATCCTGTAAAATAAACACTGCTACAGAAACTTCAAGCCACTAGCTTGAAGCCCTATGTTCCACTGGGAACGTGAAGGAAAAAAAATTATTAATAATAATATGAATCTTACGACATCCTTCAAGATTTATATGAACTGTGATCAAGATTTAACAGAATAGCTCCCAAGTAAGTGGGTATCTATTGAGAAGTAGACATATGTGAAAATTCTGTTTGAAAAAACTCAGCGAAACTGAAATGACTAATTCCAAAATTTCATTCGGCAGACTGGTCCGCAATTCTTAAGGGAAATCAATCCATGGCTCATGATTGGACAAAGTTTCCAAAACATAATAAACGAAATCGCATGAGCTGTTATCAAAATTTAATCTCAAACTAAGAAATATTAGTCTATTCAAGTATTGGTTTGTAGGAATTCGGTTGATTGGTTACAGGATTTCATCATGAGCTGGCATTGGATAGAGAGTCATTGGAAAACCTGGAAGTACTGGACAGCTGTTTCGTCCTAGTTTGGGACTCTTCAGCTCACTGGCGACTGGGCCTATTCAGGTAGGTAGTTACCTGGGGTTCCAGTGGGAAGTCGTGACAAGTATGGTGCAGCAGGTCGCCGGAGATATTGGCTAGTGGTTGCGCTATACCATGAATTGGCAGAAGTTAGAATTCGTAGGCCATTGGGTCGGGTCCCAGTGGCCTAATGGTATACCAGCTCGCCTTGTAACCAGAAGGTCCTGGGTTCGAACCCCGGTGGGTGCGTACTGATGAGGAGTGCTAAACTAAGACGAGACAGCTGTCCAGTACTCCCAGGTTTTCCAATGGTTCTCTAACCGATGCCAGCTCATGATGAATTCCTGTAACCAAATATTAGTCTACTTTTGTTAAACATTTTAAACAGAAAGTACTTTTAGTTAATTGGTGGATGGTGAATAGTAGTGGAATCCAGGATGCGCGTTTCGTCCCATTTGGAACTCGTCATATGGATGTACCTGCATTCCGCAGTGAGTCATGGTATTCCCACCGAGGCTCGAACCCAGTAATCATAGTTTCAAACGCCAAAGCATTGCCCCCTAGACCACTTGGGCCACAAGAACCACCTCTTGTGCAACGGGTCATATTAATAATTTAATTGGTTTTTAGATTTTCCCGTTGTTTGGTTGGACCGAAGTGCTTGGTATCAGGTTGACATGTCGGCTTCTTGTGCAGAAGCTTCGCCACTCTGGCGTTTGAAACTATGTGTACTGGGTTGGAGTCTCGGTGGGAACATCATCACTCATTGGGAATGCAGGTGCATCGAACTGACGAGTCACAAATAGGACGAAATGTGCATTGTGGATTCCACTGCTAGTCACCATCCACCAGTTAACAATTTTCACATATTCTTCAAGATTATCGATAAAATCCATCAGGGGGCCTAGTGAGATATACTATCAGCAAAATTAACCTCCACTTCTGTGTGTACAAAAAAGTTTATGCTTGTTGGTTATCTGATTATACCACTAATGTTAGTGTTATTCATTGTTTTTGGCGCTGACCTTAAATCACTGGTTACCGGAATTTCCATCCAACAAAACCTTCTGCATTTCTTTCTTATTGTTAAAATCATATCAAAGGATCACAACATGGACTAGCACGAATTTTTAATTGGCTTCCAGCTAAATACTGCGCAACTCTTGGAGAAAATGCAAAAAACACTTATAAAATTGGTTCCATCTTCATATTTAATAACACACTATGTCATACGATATTATTAATCTTAATATTTCAGAATCCTTAATTATTTTGTTCACTTTATTGAACCTCTCATTTTCTCCGTATTAATTTGCATATTGGACATATTGAACACATTTGAAACGGTACAATCTACTGGGTGATGTTACAAACATAATTTATTTTTCATGATAATTATAATTAGTTATGATTCCAAACTACTTCGAAACTTTATTGATTCTCTTTCTTTCTTCCATCATTTCCCAATTGTCGTAGGGGTAGCAGGGTTTTCTTGATGTCCGGGTCAGGTGTTGAGTCATTCACATTGCAGATAGTCTCAGTGTCCCCCTATCCTGTTGTGTTTCATATTAGGTTTTAGCACAGTCATTACTCTTTTCTCTTATTGTATGGTTGTATGTAAACTGTATGAAGCGAAATAGATGAGTCAGTCCCCAGGATTCTTATCTTATCGGGATCAACAAATTTAGACTTTGATTAGTTTTTGTTCTCGGCTAACCTATTTGAATGAGATGCGGTGGCAGTCCTAATATCTAATTGGGTGCAGAGGGAGACTGATAAAATTCAAGCATTATTTTTCAATAAAGAAATAGAGAACAGATTTGCAGTATAAAATGATGTTGTCATTCTGTTTCACAGGTTGTCTGTCATCAGCTGCACATCACTACCTCCAATTACACTTTGGTTATAAATAATGACAATAACATACTTCAATGTTTGAATGGTAGTAGACGAAGCATTAAAAAACTAACGCATCCAAAACACAAGAATT